TGATGGTCGATACTTGATCTATCTCTTACTGTTACATCCCCGGGCAACACCGGGCTCTACTGCTAGTACTTAATATTGAGGAGGAGGGGTAAGGATCAGACATTCATCTATTTAATCAGTCAACTCACCAGAAATGATAGGGGGGGGGAGAAAAGAAAAAGAAAAGAGGGAGAAGTAAAGAAATAAGAAATAAGAGATGGACGTAGGGTTTTGAAGGAAGGAGAAGGGTGGTATAGCTTGATGTTTGGGCAATTTAGAAAAACACAGATTTTAATGTTTGATAATAATTTAAATATTTAACTTCTCCACAAATAAATTAAGGATTTAATATAAACTGAATATTACATTAATAAACAAATATAAAAAAATAAAAAGTTACTAATAGTGATATTTTAATATTGTGAATGAGGGTTATGGTAAAATCTTTTTTAGTTAGAATCTAATTCATCAATTTAATGTGAAGCTATTTTAGATGAGTAATATTTCTTAATTAAAGTTTAAGTTTCAATTCAAGATGAAGTAAGATTTGAAGGTAATAAAAGAATTTACTGTTTTTACATACACATGCCACATGCATATTTACATAAATACAGATACACACATATATTCGTATACATGTACAATTACATATATAACCACATACACATGTATCGATATACATTTGTACATGTGTATGTGTTTATATATATATATATATAATTGTACATGTATACGAATATACACAAATATTTATATGTACATATTTCCACATGCATCCATTTTTATACACATTTAAATTTTTTCTTAAATTTTACAGTTAATGTTAGATAGTGATTTAAGTGCTTAAATTTCAAAAAAATATTTTTAATATCGTGAATAATGGTTAAGGAGTAATATTTTTTATTTAAATCTTGGGATTATCCATACGGATTACCAAGATTTTCGTTACTTATTGATTATATATATCAATCAATAAATAAAAATTTCACTATACTTATCTATGACCAACTAAAAATTTCACAATGTTATCACTCATCAGCCAGGTAAGAATATTGTATTATTGACAGAAAATATATTTATAAATTGTTATCACATACAGTAACTTTAAGTAGATCTATCTTCATAGCACTGCCTAAGAAGCCAGCTGCAAATGAATGTGAACTCCAATGCATAATCAGCCTAATGAGTTATATATCAAAACTTATCCAAATTCTAATGGATACAGCACACAACAGAATCAGACTGAAAATAAGACAAGAACAGTGCAGGTTTGTTAAAACCACTGGAACAAGGAACACAATATACTCAGAATGATATCAGAGAGAATTAGAAATCCTACCAGGATTTATTAGTGTTGGCCACAATCATAAGATATACAGATGAGACAAGTGTTGATAACAGACATAGAAAACTACAAGAACTTACAGAAGGTAGCAAAGGAAAGCAAGAAGAAAGGACTAAACATCAATTGCAAAAGTAGAATGCTTGGTTGTCAGCATAAGGAACAGTACAACATGCAAATTACAAATTGGAGATAATAAAATCAAACAAGTACAACCATTTAAATATCTGTGAAATGTTTTAACAGAAGACTGAAATCTCAAAGTGCATAAGGACAGTGAAAGATGCATTCCAAAAGACAAGCAAACTATTAAGAAACAGAAAACTGAATTGTTATTTAATATCAGTCCTACTGTATGGCAATGGATACTGGTCAATCTCCTCATAGATGAAGAAGAGGCTGATTCTACAGAAGGATGCTGATAATACCATGGACTAAATTATGTGAGCAACAACAAAATTTGAGAGAAAAATACAAACAAAAAGACATTTATATTTAACATCAGAAAGTTGAAATTTCTAGGTCACATATGGAAAGAGGGCTTGGAAAATCTGATACTCACAGGACATACTGAAGGTAATAGAGACAAAGAACAACACAAAAGCTACCTCATGAGCTTGACTAAATGGAGAGTTTAGCAAGGTTTAGGAAAAATAGCAAAGACAAAATTTATAAAGCACTATGAAAGACAGAAAATTTTAGAGAACTACAATACCCAACATTCTAAAGGGGCCTGTATATAAAAGACATTTTAAAATTTGCTATAATGTTCTATTGCCAAAATTCTATTTACCATGACATGCAATAAATTACATAATTTTACATATTTCATTAGGTCTTATTATATATAATATTTCCAAGAGGATAAAATCCAGGTAGATCTCTATGTGCAAGACAATACAAGAATATAATAAAAAAAGGCTCAAACACTAATATTCTAAAGTCATAATTTATTACACTGGAATCATAATCACAATTCATTGAATTTGTAGGTCTGATGAATTGGATTGTGATTATGATTCCAATGCAATTAATTATAACCATGGAATATTAGTGTTTGAGCCTTTTTTATATATATATATATATATATATATATATATATATATATTAATACTAGTAAAAGGTTTGTCACTTAGCTGATCGATGTTACTTTCAGCATCCTGATTGCAAAGTTTCGTAGACAGACTCTCCAGGAATCACTCATCAGTGGCTATCAGCAATGGACAGCTTATACTTCTCAATTTTTCTTTTTTATATGAACTTTTCATTAGTGAAAGTTTGTTTTTTGTTTGTTTTGCATAGTGTATGTGTGCATTTGCGTCCATGCACCTGTCTGGGCATATGCACATACACGTAGAATGTTTTAGTTATTTGTCCTTTAGTTTTTTTCACTTTACACTCACTTATTGTTTTTTTTTTAATCTTTTCTCTCTTTTCCTTCTTTTCTTTCAATTGTTTCTTTCGTTTTCTGAATCCCTGTTCTTTTTATTGCTCTCTCTCCTTAATAAGATTTTCTTTTTCCTATATTCTCTCACACTCGGTAAGCCTTTGCATCTTAGTGGCCTTTTTGTCTTTTTTTTTTTGGTGGTGGTGGTATTATAAAATTATATATATATATATATAAATAATTTCTGTTATATTTTATATAAATAAACACTTCTATTCTTTTACACACACACAAAAATGTATAAAACTGACAATCTTCAGGTGGTAAAGGAAGGAACCATTCACAGAATTTCTTTGGAGGGTTCCTTCCGTTATTGTCTGAAAATTGTGCCAACACATGGAATTGTCATTGTGTACTTTTTGAGCAAATATTAAATGCGTGTGCGTGTGTGTGTGTGTGTAATTGAAACATGTTTGTGTACAAAAGTACAATAGCTCCTCAATATTTGCAACAAAGAATGCCATGAGGCACAAAGATGTTAAAAAAAAAAAAAATTTTAAAATATGACAATAAACCAGGTTTTGCAGAGAGGAAGATTTTGAAACTATTTCTAAAGTCTCTGATGCATAAAAGGCTGTAAACTTACCAATTGTTTTGCATTTCTTATGTGCAAATATCAAGGCAAGAGCTGAACAAAGGTTGACGTCTCTTTTGTCTTTCACCAATTCCAATTCCCGCATTCCTTCCTGTATGCGACCTGCACACAAGAGAAAGACATAACAAGATTAATTACAATTCAATAGGCAGACGACAATGTGAATGTCACAAATAAGACACATTATTTAAGAAGATTGTATATTCATAACTGTTATATAATTAATAGACAGCCAATAACCAGTGTTATCATTGATAGGATTTATTCAAATAAATTAACTTTCAATCACTTAATTATATAAAAGTTTTTAGCTTGACCCAATTCTCAAAATATGACCAAACATTCCATTCTTGATCAGACTAAGGATTTTTAAGCACCACTTCATATACAATCATATAGCAAGTTTTATACATATGATTGACTGATTTGATTTTTTATGGATTATCAACCTTTTGTAGGCTATTTAAAACCAGAAAATATTTTTAGATTTAAGAGTTTTTTCGAGATAATTGTGAGCAGCAGAATAAAGTCCTTTGGACTGACGAACCCAAGTTCAAAATCTTTGGATCAAATAGAAGGATCTATGTGCAGCAAAGAGTTGATGAAAGATTTGCACCAGGTGAAGGGCAAATTGAATCAGACCAGCTATCATAGAATATTGCAGCATCACGCAATCCCATATGGAACACAGCTTGTGGGTTAAGGATTTGTACTCATGCAAGATAATGACTTAAAGCATACTAGTAAACTCTGCTAGAGGTACATTAAAAGGAAAAGCACTTTCTTCAACTAATGTCTTGGCCGGTGCAATCAGCGGACTTAAATCCCATTGAATTGGTATAGGATGAATTTGTCCAAAAAGTAAGAGCTTAACAACCCACAAGTGCAGCTCACATGTGGGGCAACTCTTGCAGGAAAGCTGGGCAGAACTATCTTCAGTCTACCTCCAGTCTTTGGTGGAAAGAATGCCGAGAATTTTTAAAGCAGTAATAGCAGCCAAAGGGGGTTATTTGATGAATCAAAGGTTTAAGTGTTTTGTGTTTTTTTTTTGTTTAATTTGTATTTAATATGGCTCAGAAAGACTTGTATTTAGTATAATAAATAAAACCACTGTAGGGCTTAACTTGTTTCATTGAAAATAATACTTTTAGTATGAGAAATAAAAATTTCTGAGGGTAGCCACATACTTTTGACTGATAGCATATATATATATATATATATAAAAAAACATATTTCATCAACAGTTAGAAGCCATTCTAAAAATTATCCTTAGATCACTGGAAATGTTATAAAATCAACTTAGAGGAGTTGTCCAATTGATGTGGTTTCACTTGGCATTCAAACATTTTGACAACCACTTGGCTGATAGATCTATTCATTTTCTTCTTTAAAACTAGAAAATATTTTTTAGATTGTAAAATTTTTTCTTTTTGAGATAATGATTTTAGTGGTACAAATCTTACCTTTTCTTTTACCAGTTATGAGTTAATTAACCTATAGCTAGGGAGAGAAGAGGTAGATACACACCTTTCTGAAGGGTATTTGCACATAAGTGGATATAATGAATCCAACTGGAATTAGAACTCGGCTCTCCAATTAACAATTCCAATCCATTAAACCACTAACACATCCAAGGTTACAGTACTGGTATTTCCAAGCAGTCACCTATGTAAGTACTACTCAAGCTCAACATTGCTTAACTTCAGTGATTGTACAGGAACCAGTGTTCCAACATGATTGGCTGTAAGCTCCAATTGGCTGACATCATCTGTGTACTAAAATGTTCATGAATTATAAACCCAACACATTTCTGGATATCTCTCAGCAATTCTTCAAGTTGTGATTCTTCAGTTAAACTTTGGTCATGAACATTATCAACAATTTCAGGAGTTGACAATGATGAAGGTGTCCCAGACTGTACTGCATCCGGTGTCTCAAAATATTCACACTGGTAGATGGAACACCACTTGTCCACATTTGTTGAATATGATGGACAGTTTCCACCCAATGTTTACATCACAAATTCAGTTTGAAGTTTTTTTTTCCAGAGACAAGAACTTATTGACAACCTTGACTTCAACATTTTAAAACGTTAAACTTTCCATTGACAGAATTCAGTCAATGATGAGAAACAAATTCAAAAAGTACATGATGAAAGAACACTTTTTCCAGCTACAGTGGCAAAATACTGCTTAGATTTGCAAAGTGGTTTTGGTCAAGAACTTTTCAGCACCTTCTCATAGTGAATCTAATGTTAATTTTAAAATATGATATCTACAGCTAGAAAACTTAAGCAAAGTATTAATCTCTGAGGGTAAAAAAGGGTATATGACAATATAAATAATGAGGATTTTACAAGAAAGTGAAATCTACCCTGATAGTGGTTGTACAGAGCAGGAGTTAACATTTGTAATAAAATATATTATTTTGGCAAACTAAATTTTACAAATAGGTGAAATCTACATAAATCATCTAAGAGCATGAAGGAGAGAAAAAAAGACAAAAAAAAAGAAAAAAAAAAAAAAAAAAAAAAAAAAAAAAAAAAAAAAAAAAAAAAAAAAAACAAAGAAAAACAATTTTTTTTTCCATGTAAAATAAAAACATTTTTTGATTTTTAAAAAGGAACCAGTTTTAAGATGTGAAGATTTTAATTTGAAACCTCATTCACTTTGATAAAATGACTGATTCCAACTTGTCCAGACCAAAACACTAAGAAAGGAAATTAATTTTCAACAAGTGATTGATTATCAGTTTCTATCTACTCCTCCTCATAGAAAAAAAAAAAAAAATTCACACATGGTCCTGAAATTACTTGGAAGCACTTTAACAACAAAAAAATAATTTTGAATAGTTTAGCTAATTCAAAAACTAGGGTTTTAGATTATTAATTGACTAACATTTCTGAATGTCCAGGAGACATTTGCTTTTTTTATTTTTTCATCAAGACACTTGTTTGAAATGATGGATTAACAAACTTCAACAATTCATTTCAAATTTCACCAAAGCAGGAAAAGACGTTTTTAAAAAATGTGGGTGACAGGAATTTCTGGTTTCCTGTCTGAATTTCGGAAGTAATGAGTTATTGTTATTTACTGTCAGACTAAGGTTTTCATCTTTGTTGTTAATATGTCAGCCACTGTGCTCTCCTGTTTCTTCAGGTCTCTTTCAATCCAAGTAAACTTCAGTAAGGCTTCAGCAGAAAGAACAGAAAGAAATAGAAATGGTTGCAAAAAGGGTTGAGTTGAAAAGCAAGGCTACAACAGCAGAGAAAAACTTATTTTATTGCCGCCATTAATATTCAAAATTATTTTAAATTATTTTATTGAATTCACAATTACTACATTACCAAATTCATGAACCAACATCTTAATCCAATAGGCTATTATCCCTGTAGATTAAAGCATTGGTTTGTGAATTTGGTGACATTAAATGTAATATAGGAATGCAAAGAGAGACTATTTCCCTTTGGTTGAAACAAAGTCATGACATCACTTCAGAGAGTGATGAAGAGTTTAGTTGCTTTTTAGCACATGGGAGAGGTAAAACTTGTCTGTCCATGTGTTGTTATGTAGGCCACAAAGAAGACATGTCACAAGCCCACAATGGTAGAAGGAACAAAGGAACCCAGATGGTCTCACCAGAAACATAAAGAACACCACCAATCTGTCCCTTTACCCCATCCAGGAATATTACAAGTAAGACTCTTTTTGCCCCTGTCATGCTGCTTGTTGTATACATATGTTATAGTTTCTCTGTGTGGGACAAAGTATGTATATATCAGTATAAAAAATTCCAAGACAAATGCATGTTTGTCATTCCTTTCTTTCCAGCAATTCGCTTTGGTCTATGTATTAAGATGTTATTATATCATGGATATATTAATGCCTATAATAGGGAAATAAAAATGGGAAATATTCTTTCATGCCAAGCATCTACATTTGTGAGTTCAATCTCAGGTTAAGCAGTACACGGATTCAGTGGAAACAGGGTGATCAAAAACTGAACAGAACTAAATAAGAACTTGACAAAAATCAGTGATCCGAATCTGAAGAGAACATGCTACCTCATCAATGATAATTCACCGATTTGCCATTACCATCTCTCAAGGGGGATGCATCTTATAAGTGGTCGAGATTGATGGGTGTCTTGCTCCTTCGTTCATCCAACTTGTCAAGCCACTTTTAAGCTTCTCTATCCACTCTCACATATTTCTACAGGGTAGTGCACTGTCGCAAGAAAACTGGCACAGTCAAGCTCAAAATTGCAGATGGTAGTGTCATAAACTTAAGATGTTGTGGCGAAAGTGCTGATAATTTTTAACTTACCCTCATAATAAAGTACTTGATGAATTAACACAGTCAATTCTGGCACAAGCCTTTATTTTTAGAGCACAAAATTACTGCAATACAGTTGTCTTCTACACTCATTTTCCTCATTCCAATCCTGTGACAGCACCATATTTCACCAAAAGAGATGGGGTCAGTATAATATCACTTCTGGCATGACATTGGTCATGGGGACTGGGTAATTTTCCTTGTCCCATATTTATATATATGGGCTACCTACATAAAAAATGTCCATGTGTCACAGCTTACCTTAGTGGCGAGGTCAGGTAACAAAAGAAAAAAAAAAATCACTATCTAAACCAATTTGAATAGTTCCATAAGTGTGAAGTGTGACAGAAGAAACTGTTAGCATAGAACTTACAGTTACATCTATCCATTTCAACTGCAATATGATGAAACCTTGCAGCCAATCTAATAGTATTTCTTAATGGATAAAAAATATTAGCTCTTAACAAAAAAAAAAAAAAAAAATTAGAATGAGAAATTCTTCAGATTCTAAAACAATGGACATCAAATAAACCATTATAAACATGAAGATATCTTGTAGTTAGATTGTCCAGCTCAGGCAATATGGCTCTTCAAAGCACTAATCTGGTGTGCAAACGAAGTCATGGTCACCTCGGCTAAGAAAATTCATTTAGAACATCTATCATGAACTTCAGTTTGTTGCAGCAAACAAAATTTACATATGTAAATGGATATAAGGAAACAGAATAAATTTCAACAAGGTGATATTTTATATAACTGAGTAAAAAGAGAAAATACACTAGCATGCATGCAAAAGATCTTGAAAATTAGGAATTGCATGGATGATACATACACTCCTCTGTGTGTGTGTGTGTGTGTGTGTGTGTGTGTGTGTGTGTGTGTGTGTGTGTGAGAGTGAGTGAGTGAGTGAGAGAGAGAGAGAGAAAATAAAGTTTAGTGACTAAGGGAAAGTTACCATGCTTGGAACAAAAGGTCATGTGAAGGTCATTGCAAAAGTATGCTGGATGGAAAAGAAAAAGAAAGTGTCCAGTTTTTTTTATAGATGTTTGACAGCACTACCTAATGACCTCTTGGTGAAAACTGGCAAAGCAATGTGAGGATAACCCACAATTGCACCTGGGGAGATTTATTTTACTTTAGCTGGTGGGGGTTACCTAGCATCTGCTTTACCAATGAGGCAATGCTGGAGGGTGTTCTTTGAGCAGAATTTTTAAAGAGTTTCCCCATGTATCACATTTCCCTTTTCTCCACCACTGATATTGGTCAAGGGAAAGCAGGGGCTGATGCAACTTGGTATTGGCATCATTGCAGAGTTGCCAGAATGAAGTCAGATTCAACTGCCTTTGGAACTGTTGGTTTCAATCCCCATATAAAAACACTTTCCCTCCCTATTTTATAGGCAGAATCACAAAAATGCATGCTGGGATTTTTTCCTAGCTAATAAAATAGGCCGGTTCTCAGTTTCATCTAATGCAGTCCCAATCTGTCTTGTCTTGAAGTCAGACCACTACATTCACTTGTCTGAACTTGCTTTAGTATGTCAGCATCAATTCTTAGTTTGTGAACTATTTGCCTTATTGTTGTTAATTTGCTTTGCATATATTGTTTGCTTGCTTTATATTATTTTTTGGCCCTGTTCTTTTCTTTTTATTGTGAACTTTGTCGATTCTGTTTGTTTGACAGTTTTGTTACTTATTTCGTATTTCACCATGGTTACTCACTCCATAGAAACTGCCTCCAGATAATAACCCAAATGTAACTTTTTAAAAAGGCCTTTTTTCTTCCCCCACTCCAAACCTTTTTCTTGTTTAAACCAACTTTTCTAATACAAACAAAAAGATGCAATCTTAAAAAAAACTTTTAAAAAATCTTTATCACTACATCTTTTAAGATTTAGTGAAAATATTATGCAACAAAAAAAAAAAAAAAAAAAATGCTTACATTATGTCTGACATAGCTATAATCCTGCAGCAAAACCTTTAAGAAATATTTATTGATTCAATAGATAAATCAAATCAAACAGCATAGGTCTTTAGCCATATCTTTGTTAATCTCTAGACAAAGCAGAGTTTAAAAAAAAAAAAAAAAAAAAATAGGTCACATTTTTTTATCAAGTAAAATACATTGCTTAACTAAATCAAAAAATGTGCCAGACTTGATTTTTTTTTTTGCAAAAACAAAGAAAGAATGCATCCTCTAAAAATATTCATTAAGTCTCTTAACAGAAGAAACATTTCATACCTAAGGGAGGTAATTGTGTTCAGACAATGCTCCTATCAGGCTTTGTTAAGTGCACACTGCCTCAGTCAGTGACAAGCTTTTGATTCTATCAATCACTTCCTTTATTGATTCCAACAATCAGGCATTATAAAATCAGATCAAAATAATGGAACAAAGT